AAGATATTAAGGCTATTACTGTCAGTAACTATTCTCTAAATTCTCTTCAAAAGTGTTTCAAGAGATTGTCTGAGGGCTTTGTTAGTACAAGAAACTTTATCTGTCAAAGTACTTTAAAGTGACAGATTGCTAACACAAATCCATTATATTCAAATCTGAAGTAAAATAATATACTGTCCAACAAATAATTATAATAAGAAGATAATACATTGTTAAATAAGAAAAGCCACACTCTGAATGTTTTTGACTTCCAAAAGGTATGGAGGAATATCCAGTGAGATTCCCAGAGAAGCTCTGATCCTGGTACCTAGCTCGTGGTGATAACAGGGAACTGGGGCATAAACAATATCTATCTGCGAAGTCTTAAAAGCAGAGCTACAAAGGAAATCTGGAGAACAACAGGAGACTGAGTCAGGGTTTCTGGGAAGTAGTCTGAGCTTTCTTTCACTCTATTTAAACCAGCTGAAGAATATTTTTTCCACATATGTTTAAAATTGTCTATAACTGATACCGGAGGACTCTGATTATAATAAACTATTTCTGCTGGGTGCAAATACTTGGGAAAGAGGGAGGATTTAAGTTAGCTCAGCAATAATTATTTTATTGACTTTTGGCTACAATATTAAGCTCCAGTGCTTTACTGAGTGAGGGTGTGGGGTTTTTTAATTATTTTTCAAATTTGCAATACACTTCAGGCCTACAAGCAGTTTCTATTTTGTATAGCAGGTAACAAATTAGGATGAATTTTAAAATGTTATGCTATTCCCATGCTCCACCTGCTTGAAGCAAAACCAAAGGGATCCTTCATTGACTGCTTTCAAAGTTTCCAAAATTAGGAATTTGCTCTTGATTTTAAGATGGATTGTTAGATGCACATAGCTGATTTGCTAGCACTTATCTCTTAGCTCAATCCTGCTAGCTAGTAATCAAGATCATTGAAATTGTGTAAGGATGGACTTTCTAAACCTGCCCTTTAATGATGAGGTATGGTTATTGCTGAGTAATGAAGCAGTGGTGAGTGGAAAATGCTGGTGAAGCCACAGCTGTATTTCTCACAGGATGCTTTTGTTGCATCACTTCACTCTCATTCAGTCAGTGACAACTGCTCCAACTGCCTGTTTGTGCATTTATTCCACAACTGCCACTGCTATTCATCTGCAATTCATTCATAACTAATCTGTAAATCCCCAGCCCCTTTCCCTTCTGGTCTATCTATAAGACTTCCCAAATGGACACACATGATTAGACCTAGTGGTAAGGCGGGCACGTTATACACTGTACATTTTACAAGGTTTTTAGTGCTTAAAAAGCATTAACGTGCACAGCTCATGCAGTAGATATGTGTTAATGTTACTTTTGCCATTTTACTGTTCTTCCTGTCTTCTTTCCCATAGTTAAATCTTTCCCTTCTTTTAAATTACGTTAAAAACTGTTTAGGAGAGAAATAAGGTTTCCCTTTAGCTTTGACAGATTCTAGCCCATTGCAGAGCTGAAGAGGGAATAGGCAGAGCCGTGGGTCACAAAGGAGGGGGCATCTTTCCTGAGATGTCGCTGCAGCCTGCCCTGAGACATTTAGCAAGCCAGCACCACCGTGCTTTTGTTCTTCCTCTCATTCCCAATGTGTCCTAGCTGTTGGGGAAGAAGCCACCTCTCTTTTGTTTCTATGGTTGGCTAACCCCAATTCTAGCCCTTGCTGGAAGACAGGTTAACAGGAGGTTACTCTGAACAACACTGCATAGTGCTAGCACAGCACGAGTTACGGCAAGAGCAGCATCACTCCAAAATCCACAACTTGAAAGCTGACACAAGGGAGGCTGGAAGCGTACCCTGCCAGATAAACCTCCTGTGTAGAACAGAAGTAGACATGTATAAAAAAACACTACGCTGTATTCTAGGGCTACTTATTTCGCTCTTTTACGGAGAGCAGCACAACAGTAGTCATGTCTGTCCTCATTGTAGGAGTGTTTCTGTGTTGTGTACCTGGTTGCTAAGATGATCAAGGCAATCAGCACTATGTAGCACTGAAGAGGACATTGATGGTGCTGTAGAGGTGTTAGAAGACAGGTGGGGTTATTTCTGCCTTCTTTCAAATAGGGTCTGTCTTCAGAGCAGGAGAAGATTTTTTTACCCACTGGAGCACCTGCCTAGAAGTACTTAAAGTCCCATTGCAAGACATAGTATGTGTGTTTGGTATAGATACTAAAGAGGAGAGGCAGGGCAGGGGAGCAGGTGTAGTGATGGGTGAGGAGGAGAGGAATGATTTTCAAAAGGTACTTTGCTCCTTCAGTTACTTGTTATTGACAAAAGTTCTTGCGGATGAGTTTTGCTTTTACAAAGTAGCTGGATGGGTTTGAGAGACACAGCTAGGAGAGGAGATTGAGTGCTGTAAGAGTTGATCTAGATGAGATACCAGCTTCATCCTCTGAAATTTTGCTGTAGACTGAAGGATCACTCTTCTTTTGGAAAAGCTGTTGACTTTCTATTTGTTTATCGTTTTGTTTAGAATGGCCACAGTGCACAAAACTGGAAGACATCCGTTCTTCTGGGTTTACGAAAGCCACATTTATGCTGAAGGGAAGCATAACTGCTTGTTGTTGTTCTCAGTTTCAAAAGAATCCTTGGAGGCTGTAATTCAACTAATTCACTTTTTAAAACAGTAATACTGAATTGGACTTATTTTCAGCTTGGCACCTGTCTTTACAGATGCCCGAAAACTCATTTCTCAGGCGCATTCTAGAAATGTCATAGGGCTATTTTCAGAGCTGGTGAATTGGTCTGTTCTGATGTTGTGTGGTATTGCGAGGAAAACACCAACCAGCTAACTTGCAACAGAGTTGGCTTCTAGTACTGGCTCTGCCACTGGCTTGTCTGGTGGCTGTGGACAGTCACTTGATAACTCTGTGACTCCATGTTCCCACCTTTAAAACAGGGGTGATGATTTTTATTTCCTTTGTAAAATGCTTTGAGATCCACTTTATACCACAGCAAACATTACTAATGGTAGTCCTATATATTGCCCTTTTAAAGCCATAGGAAACTATGTGAATCCGACTTAGTCCCTGCAACCAGTGGGGGGTCCCTAAAATCATTCAGAATTAGTAGCTGGGAAAGAGTGGCTGTTCTACAGACATGCCCACACTCCAGAGATGCGACTGCAGCTTCCACAGGTATGTCCAAGCTCCCTCTGAGCTCTGGCACTGCTAACGGGGTACCCATGCTAGTGTGGAGCTCAGCGGCTGCTGCTGGCTGGCCCCAAGTAGCTCAGGAGATGCTGGGGTGAGGAGCCCGCGCTGAGCTCCCTGCTGCTGCAGTGACATTGTTGCCAGTACCTCCCCTAGTTAATTTAAAGCTAGCTCAAGTATGTCTGCACAAGCTGCAGTTAGGCTGTGACTGCGGTATAAAAATACACCCTACAGGAGACCACAGGCAGCCAGAGCTTCAGAGAAAGCATCTTAGTTACATTTGCAATCAAGCACGGGCTGCTGGCATCGTTGCAAATTTACCTTACCTTTGGCTTATTCTTCGTACTCTGCAAATACATCTCTGCTCTCAAAGTAAGGGAAGGTTTTGTTTATCCTCTTCACCTGCCGTGAATGGTGTTCTAGACTAGGGCATGCTTAAATTTGGAATTTAAATGCCTCAATTTTAATTTTAGTTGCTACTTTATCCATACATAACTCTCATCTACCTTTTTTCCCATCCAAAATGTGGAGGAAGCCTTAACGTGGTGACAATAATGCTGAGAAGTAGGTAGTATCACTCTGTTTTTAGAGAGAGAGAGAGAAATCGAGGCAGAGGAAAAGTTATCTGCCATGGACTAAACAGGGAGTCATGGTGGGAGAAGGAACTGGCTCCATGCATTTATTTTTGCCTAGAGGAACCAGTGGTGTTTGGAGCACATGGACTGCATCAGTTAATTAGTAACTCACCAACTACCAATGCATCCTAATCCATTTTTTGCCAGGTGCCCCGTTTTTGTACATCTTATACTAATGTTATGAGAAGTCTTAAGTACACTTTAAAATGACACAGCAAATTAATAATACACTAAATAATTCAGTACTATATGGAACAATCATCCTCCTAGGATGTATCAGATAAATAAAACATGGGTTAGAAGTGTCTCTGAATGATGGTATTGTAGGAAAGGCATCTCAAAAAATAAAGGAGTAATGATCACATCCTTTTCTGTTTTATAGTCTTCCTTTCTTAATATATTTAAAATATTTGGCTCCAAATTCAAATGCTTATGGGAAAGCTATACACTGAAAAGATTTGGTTTTAAGTCTCATTAGCTGTGCTAAGTATCAATTCATTTGGCAAAATATTCTCCCAGAAAACAGTTTGTGCCAGTTCAACACTATTTGATGGCTGATTCCTCAAAGATCTATTCTGAATATAGAAAGGAGCCACATGATTCATTCAGCTTGTGCATATCTATTTTATCTCGATAGAAGGATTATATATGGAGAGATAAAGGTTTGTTAAACAAAGTATCATTAATCACTCTGTCCGGAAATGTAGACTTTGTAGGAGCATGCTGTAATTTGCATCACTTTTGCTATGCCTTGCCAGTGCTGCTGGTGAGCAATAACAAACCTGTATTTATGAAAAGGACAGGTTTAAGATGAAAATAATTCTATCTGAAAACTGTGAGAATGGTACAGAATCCTGTCGCCTGCACTCGTTCAACGGGAGAACACTGTATTTGTAATAAATTCCTTTTGCTCTGGATGAGTTCTGCATTTTCAATGAGGTTAACTTGGCAACATTCTAGTTGATTTTAATAAAAATAGCTGCTTTGAGGACAGGGAGCTGAGGTTGCCAAATTTACAGCTGCCTTGCACAATTACTCTTACACCTCCTTCAGGGCTACTTAGAACCAGTAAGCAAATTAAGTGTATCGATTGCAATTTTGTTGGACTAACCCTTTTTTCTTAAGGAATAAACTTGATTCCTTTCAGTATGTGTCTGCTCAGAGTGATCTCTTTTCTTTTCAGCCATAACACAAAGACAACATCATGGCTGGATCCACGACTTGCGAAAAAGGCTAAACCTCCAGAAGAGTGCAAAGAAAATGGTAGGTTATTAAGTTTTCGTTGCTGCTCAGAGGGGATTTGTCTTTGTGTGTGTGTGTCTCTCTCTCAGTTCTTACAAAAATCAGGCATTTGGGGGAATGATGAAAGGTGTTTAATTGCTGCTTTGGTTAGAAGCCATAAGTGATACCAGTTCTCAGTGTGCCATGTGTTTCTGCTTTTTATTCCCCTTTCTGATGCTATCCAAAGCTGAGGATCACAAGTGTGTTTTCTGCCTGTTGTGTGTGTGACTCCGGGACTGACCCTCTCCCTCATCTCCTACAGAGAACTTTGGTCTGCAGAACAGAATCCCTTTTCAGATTCTGAGCTTTTAATCTACAGGCGATTCAATGCATAAGGGAAACTAGCAGCACCGTGGGAATATGAATATTGTTTGATTTGTATTTAAAGGTACAGTGCTATGCTATTTAGTAGCCAATTTAAACAAAACAGTGTCTGATAAAACAGGGTGTGGGAGGGAGACAAGAGATCAGTGTCTGTCAGAGTTCAAGGCTGGATTGGGGGGTATTGCATTGTTAAAGGTTTAAAATTTAAAAGCATAAATACTGTTGAGGATGCTTAAAAGAGCTGTAGCTCGTGTGCAGGAGGAATGACTATATTGACAGATTCAGAGATATGAAATAATACAGATCATATCAAACTATCTTATATGCATTCAGTATAATTTCTATTTTTTCTGCGGTAAAGTTTCAGTAATCAAAATCATTTAATAAAGCCAAAGTAAAAATGTATTGTAATAGATCTGTTTCTGAGGAGGTTTTTTTTCATTGTTTTATAGTTCAGTGTCAGTTCAATTAGCCAGTTAAGAAGTAACGATTTCTAAAGACTGCTACTTATTTTATTATTGTGAGGTACAAAAGATGAAATGCATGCATGCTATGTGCATTAATTCAAAGCATTTTAAAATATTTTAAATGTATTACTAGATTTTCATGTGCTGCATCTGATTTATTTTCAATTTTCCAAAATACATTCATTTGTTTAATGTAAATAGTATTAACTGAAAGAAAACTCAGTGCTGGTTTGGGCTGATAAAGAAGTCACTGAGGAGTAGCTGGCTGTGTGAAATGCAGGGTCAGTGGTTTGGTAAAGAATGTTCCTGGATTTTTTTTGCCAATGGCTTCATTTTGAAAGATTGCTATATTCCAAAAATCCCTTCCTTATTTCAGCAGTAATTCTGACGTTCTCTTCTGACATCAGAAATTACATGTCTGAATGATTTTGTGATGCTTATTCTAGCACTGACAACACTAGCTCCCAGAGTAAATTCTACAGTGAATACAACAGAAGTGTGTTACTGAAACAAAAAAAGGGCACAAGAGTTTTGCATTCTAAATCTCTCACATTACTTATATGAAGCTATATATCTTTGCCTGCTCCTCAAGGAATACTAGTGAAAAAAAGCAGAAGAAAAATTCACCAAATTTACCAATAACTATGTAGTAACATATCACAGAGTTACTTGGAGTAAATGTGTGTTGCTTTTTTTTCCCCCCTTTTTTTCTTTTTCTGTTAGCTGTTGTATACTGAGATCACAACAAGCACTGAAATATTAAAAAATATACCAAAGTATCTGAAACATTTTAAAATGAAGATCAGTGCATTAAAGAAACAGCATTATTTTGTAGTTATTTGACTACTGGATTATTGAATTAATATAGTATGCTGGGTCATGTTGTTCTTTTAAGGGTTGCTCAGCTCATTAATGCAAAGTACTTGAAGTGAAGCATAAAAGACTTTAGGGAGAGATTTTCTATTCTTACAGAGATTGTTCTTGCAACATCCTCTCTTTTCCTAAGGTTCTTTTGTTGTTCAAAAATGTGGTTTTGTTTTTTTTAATCCAATACCTGCAGAAGAAAAGGTTTTTAAAAATCACTGATATACCTTAGAATGGCTGCACCTTGCCATTGAGGTCCAACACCAGGGACATTGTTATAGCACACAGGAATTTGGAATTTTTGTTTAGATTTAATGTCAGATCAAGGATTAATTTCACACGCGTTTCGGCTGTGGCTTGGTAGATTTTTTTTGTGCCAAACATCTTTTCTGTTACACTTTATGATTTATTCTGGCACATTTTACTCAGAGATACAAAATTTTAGAAAGACATCAGTGTTTAGATAGAAAATTATACTTACCTTGCTTCTTTATTGCTATCTGCATAACTTGTGGTTTTCATTTTGTCACATCTAAAACTTGTATAGATTCTCTGAGATATGTTATGATGTCCTTACCACCTATCAGATTCTGCTATCAGGTTTTCATTCTGAACAACCCAACTTTTGTGTTCTCCTTTCAGTGTAAATCCTGCCAAATCCTCCTTCTTCATTCTGCCACCAACATGCAGTTTTCACACCAGACAACGTCCAAGCAGTGTACAGTATTTGAGTCCTGATGTTCTGGGCTAGTGATACTGAGGGCCCCCTCCGCCCCAGGCATTTCCTCTCTTCCACTTTCAGCTCTTCCATACTCCTTTGCCAAATACGATTTCTTCATTTTCTCTGGCTTCTGTATCTGCAAATCCCAGTGCTTGCTCATTTCTCTTTGCAAAATCTGAACCAACCTTCCAGCACATCCCTCCTCTTGGAAAAAATTTCATATGCCTTTGCCAAGAGATTGACAAGCTCTACCAAGTCAAGCTTTCTTTGCCTCTGTGCTGTGGACTCCTATTTTCCTTTAATGACACCCACTGCTCTAAACCCCTTTGTAGGTCAGGAGGTTTTAAGGGCTGATCTTTACTTCTGTCTCTGTCATGGAACTTCTGTGTGAGTTTCAGCAAATTACTTCAACTTTCGCTCTGTCAGATCTGCTTAGATGGCAGGTCTTTGAAGCAAGAATTGCCTCTTACTTTCTGTTTGTATGGTGCCTGAGTTTCATGATAGCTGTAAGCAGAAATAGCTGGCATTTCTTCTAGAATTTTTTACACATTTCTGATTTCGTCCAGAAAATCTTGACTTTATGAAAAATATTGTGTTTCTGTCCTAAAAATATGAACTAAATATTTGGTTTTTCTGAATTAGAATACTTCTTTTAAAAGATGCCTTTTTTTTTTTCCCCACATCAAAATTGGTTAACCAATTTTTAACTATAGAGTACTACAGAAGTTATAGTTCTGCCCCCTTTGTTTCTGTGAGCTACATTCCCTGGTTGCTACATTTTCTGTAGGGTCATATTACATAGCAGACTCACAGGATTTGCATGATTACAGGTATATTATGTGAGTGGTCTAATAACAGAGTCTGTTCTTTGTGAGAGAATATGGAAAAGAATGACAAGTCCCATAAGGCAGTATAAAATGTAGTTTAATATTGAAAGGCAGTTCAGCCTTAATGACATGAAATATCTCAGGTTTTAGAAAGTTCATTTTTGGTTAAGAAATGTAGTAATTAAATTTTTCAAATTCTTTAATTCATTTTAGGGAACTTTCAATTCTGGAGAAAAGTGAACGTTTACTTCTTTATCCAATTTGGGGATTAAACAGCTGTTGAAATTTCCTGGGATCAGATATGTCAAATTTCACTTATTTCATTACTACAAATTTCACTTATTTCATTACTAATCCATTCAGCCAGTAGTCTCCATCACTCTTAACCCTCCAATTCTTTTTAGGTCAACCTCCTTTCTCCTATCTCTTAGTTTTGAAATACAAGTAGGCTTAAGACTATAAATAAAGCTTTGATTTCACCTAGCATTCATCTGTCATCTGTCTTTCCATCTCCTCTACACCCACCAACTTGACTGCAAAATATAGATATTTAAGGTGAGCCGAGTTGCCTTTAAACTTCATTGACTGTGAATGTCAGCTGTATTTTGGCAATTAGAGGGCACAGTTATCTGGTTCACATGTAAACACCTGTATGTAGACAGACTACTACATTTAGGTGTCTTCATCTTGAATGGAACCCCACCCTCCTGTCACGTTTTGTCAGGTTATCCTTTTCCCCATTCCTGCAGTCACAGGCAATACCTTTTGGTAAGCTCAGAGCCATGCACATTTTCAGCACTCTTCTTCATGCCAGTGACACACACATCTACCCTTGTCCTCTTCATCTTTCTCTCCCAGTTGAGCCCCTTGTTTCATGCTACATAAGACATCTCCCATTGGACATCTCCCATACTGAGTCCTCCAAGCAAATGCCCTTTGCTAATAGCAGTGGAAGGTACGTATTTCCTTGCCCTGCCACTTCATGGCATACAGGACCTCTCCCTTTTCCTTTTCACCCAGACAGCAGAGTTCCTTCTCAGGGCTTTGCATGACACATGCAGTGTGTCGTAGCACATGCAGTCACAAATTCAGGAATTCATCTCCCTTTCCTTCTTTGAGAACACTGTCATCATCTTGATCAATCATCTCTAAACATTCCAGAATTTCTCAAAAAAAAAAGGAAAGCTGTAGATTTATTGCTAGAACCAAGTTTTTAAACATATATTTTTATATTTAATATGATTCTTGCCAGGAAAAAAACCCCACAAACCAACAGAAGACAAATGTTAAATTCAGAATCATAAAGGCAATCACTGATTAGGCTATGTGTATAAATATCCTAGCAAACCAATAATCTTTGAGTAAATAGGCCCACTTTTTCTTACTTTTTTCTGAAACATTTAGTGCATTTTTAGCTGGACACGTCTCGTGAGACACAGGACCACCTTTATTCACTGCGTTTTCAGTTTGGAAAACTCTTTAAATGGTGCTAAGATTTAAGAAAAAACGTTTTCAGACAATTTTGTGTAATGTTTTATGGGTGCTTTAATGCTGAAAAATCCTTCTTTCTCAAAACCTTGCCATTTAACATACAGTCCCTCTTCATGTTCCTGTTCTAAGCTACTGCCTCACCATTTTTACATGCCCCTATACTAACCCTAGAAATGACTGAAGCCCAGCAATTAGCCTGCAGTCTTGACTGTTTTGCTTGTTTCCAGCAGATGTTCCTCCTCCCTAAACCATCTAAGTGATAGAAATTAGACTCAGACTTCCAGTGAC